GGGGCTGGGCGGCCGCACCTCCAGTACTCCCCAGCAGCACCTCCACCAGTAGCAGCAGTAGTAGCAGCAGCGAGGCGGCTCGGTGGGGCTGGGCGGCCGTACCTCCAGTACTCCCAGCAGCACCTCCACCAGCAGCAGCAGTAGAACGAGCAGCAGCAGCAGCAGTTGTAGTAGTAGGGCGGCGCGGCTCGGCCTGGGCGGCGCGGCTCGGGCTGGGCTACGCGGCTCGGCAGGGCGGCGCGCGTGCTGCAGGGGCGTCGCGCACGGGCTGCAGGGGCGACGCGCGGCTCGGCCGGGCGGCGCGCGGGTTGCAGGGGCAACGCGCGGCCCGGCAGGGCGGTGCGCGGGCTGCAGAGGCGACGCGCGGCTCAGCAGGGCGGCGCGCGGGCTGCAGGGGCAGCGCGCACGGGCTGCAGGGGCGACGCGCGGGCTGCAGGGGCGACGCGCGGCTCAGCAGGGCGGCGCGCAGGCTGCAGGGGCAGCGCGGACGGGCTGCAGGGGCGACGCACTGGCTGCAGGGGCGACGCATTGGCTGCAGGGGCGACGTGCGGCTCGGCAAAGGGCGGCGCGCGGGCTGCAGGGGCGACGCACGGGCTGCAGGGGTAGCGCGCGGGCCACAGGGGCAGGCACGGCTGCAGGGGCAGCACGGTCGCAGGGGCGAGTACGGCTGCAGGGGCAGCACGGTCGCAGGGGCGAGCACGGCTGCAGGGGCAGCACGGTCGCAAGGGCGAGCACGGCTGCAGAGGCAGCGCGGTCGCAGGGGCGAGGACGGCTGCAGAGGCAGCACGGTCGCAGGGGCGAGCACGACTACAGGGGCAGCGTGGTCGCAGGGGCAGCGCGCAGGCTGCAAGGACAGTGCGGCTGCTGGGGCAGCGTAGGAAGAAACTTTTTCGGGTAGGGCAGGGCGGAAAGTTCGGTGGGCCCTAGGAACGGTTCTGCTCTAATACCATGTTAGAATAAGCAGGTAGGAATGATGGACTAGGTAGCACGCATGAGTACAAGTACCTAACCCTAAAGTGTTGTACCCCTTGTAGGCTAGCCCACTATAGCCTAGAGAGAACACAAACATACAGTTTGACACATGCTCCCTTCTCTGCTTTGAAACAAATTCTTTGTTCGCCGACGTGCTCCACAAGAAACTGCTGCCAGCAAACAAGAAAGCTTGACGGTGATAAATAACGACCACGCACACAGTGCATGATCCTCGCCGTCCCTTTGATTTCGTCACCGTCGCCAGCGACATCGCCATCGGAACAGTACAGTTACATGATTTTCGGAACAAATTATAGCCAATCGCGTGTCTCACAAGTTTCACCCATCCGAACGGATTTATTCGAAACACGACACAAAAATGCTCGCAATTGCGCATGCATTCAGAGTATAGCGCTGCTACTGTCAAATTGTATTTGTTATCTCTAGGCTGTAGTGGGGCATACCCTAAAGGGTACAACCCTGTAGGGTTAGGCAGTACTTGTACTCATCCTTGCTACCTAGTCCACCATTCCTACGTTTCTATTTCTGACATGGTATTCAGAGCGGGTCCATCCTACGTAGGACCACTCCGTTAGGGCCCACCGCTAGTTTAGACCTGCCCAAACCGCCCGAACTGCCTATGTCAAACTTATATGCTGCTTATTGTGTAGGCTATAGTGGGGTAGCCCATATGGGGTACAACCCAATTAGGGTTTGCTACTTGTACCCATCCTGCTGCTAGTTCATTTCATTCTCGTTTATTCTGCTGACATGGTTTCAGAGCAGGTCCTAGCCTAGGACCGTTTTTTTTGGGCCCACCGAGTAGCGCTACCCCACCCGTCGCGCCGCCCTGCCCTGCCCTGCCCTGCGTCGCGCTGCCTGCGCACGCCCTGCCCTGCCCGCGCGCCGCCCGCCGCAGCGCGCTCTGCTTTGCCCGCGCGCCGCCCGCTGCAGCGCGCCCTGCCCTGCCCGCGCGCCGCCCGCCGCCGAGCGCCCTGCCCTGCCCGCGCGCCGCGCCGCCGCGCACCCTGCCCTGCCCGCGCGCCGCGCCGCCGCGCGCACTGCCCTGCCCGCGCGCCGCGCCGCCGCGCGCCCTGCCCTGCCCGCGCGCCGCGCCGCCGCGCGCCCTGCTCTGCCCGCGCGCCGCCCGCTGCAGCGCGCCCTGCCCTGCCCGCGCGCCGCCCGCCGCCGAGCGCCCTGCTCTGCCCGCGCGCCGCGCCGCCGCGCGCCTTGCCCTGCCCGCACGCCGCACTGCCGCGCGCCCTGCCCTGCCCGCGCGCCGCGCCGCCGCGCGCCCTGCCCTGCCCGCGCGCAGTGCTGCCGCGCGCCCTGCTCTGCCCGCGCGTCGCGCACCCGCGCCGTCCTGCCCTGCCCGCGCGCCGCGCCGCCGCGCGCCCTGCCCTGCCGTGCGCCGCTCGCTGCTGCGCCACCCTCTCCTGCTGCCGTGCGCCGCTCGCTGCTGCGTCGCCCTGCGCGGCCCTGCCTTGCCTTGCCGGCGTACTGCCCTGCTGCTAGCGCGCTCGCCTGCCTAGCCCTGCCTGCGTGCTGCTCTCCTGCTAGCGCGCCCGACTGCTCTGCCCATTATGGCCACGCTCAGTGTCCTCACTTTCGATCCGGAGGGCCGCCCGATAGAGTTCGATGCGTGGCTCGACGACTTACAGCTGTTCCTACTGAGCGATTCCAAGGACGGAGTTTCACTGTTTGACTTCACATCTGGCGCCTCTCTCGCCCCTGCCGCTACAGCTGACAGTGCGACTCGCTCACAGTGGCTTACTCGTGACGCTGCTGCTTGCCTAGCCGTTCGCAACCACCTGCCGTTAGCCGAACGCGCTCACTTCGGACAGCACAAGACTGCGAAAGCACTGTACGACGCTGTAGTCGCTCGTTACTCCTCCCCGGCCACTGCTGCTTTAGGCCGCCTTCTCCTGCCCTACCTGTTCCCAGAGCTGTCCGCCTTTGCCACAGTAGCCGACCTCGTCACTCACCTTCGCACTAGTGACACTCGCTACCGCGCTGCGCTTCCCGTCGAGTTAATCACCAAGAACCCTCCTCCCATGTACATCACTCTCTACTTCATAGTCACCCGCCTCCCTGACTCTCTTAGCGCTGTCAGGGACCTCCTCCTCGCTCTTGACCCCACCGACCTCACTGTCGACCTGCTCGAGAAGCACCTCCTAGCAGCTGAGACTAGCATAGTCGCTGTAGGCGCTTCTCGTGGCACTCCTCGCACTCCCTTCTTTGAGGGGTGTTCGCCCTCCCCCCTGGTCCCCTTAGTCACCTCTGCTGCAGCTGTTGACTACCTTCGTGCTGAGGAGGTAGGAGCCGCGTCTGCCCCTAGTGGGAGGCGCCACAGCGGCAGGGGCAGGGGAGGTAGGGGCGGTGGGGGTGGCAGAGGTGGAGGCGGTGGTGGGGGCGGTGGAGGCGGTGGAGGGGGCGGCGGTGGCGGAGGGAGTGGTGGTGGGGGTGGAGGTGTAGGTGGCGGCGGTGGTGGCGGCAGTGGGAGTGGTGGAGGCGGCAGTGGTGGCGGCAGTGGGAGTGGAGGCGGCGGCAGTGGTGGCGGCCGGGGTGGTACCAGCCAGAGGGGAGGCCTTGGCGGTGGTCAGAGGCAGCAGCAGCAGCGTCAGCCATTTTCGTCTCAGGAGCTACGTGAGTGGTTTGCTCAGCGTGGGGCGACTGGGGGTGGTGGTCGCTGCCCGTATGTTATTCGCAGAGGTGACCGCTCTGGTCAGACATGCGGGCTGCCTCACACACAGCACCGCTGCTTCTCCCGTCTCACCGACGACTTTCGCACAGAGTTTCCCGACGCGATTGAGCTCCCCCATTGGGCAGAGCTGCTTAGGCAGGGTGTTGATATCTTTTCTCTTGACTATGATGCTATCCTTACTGCCATGTATGCATTGAGTGTTAGTGGTGAGGGTGACTGTTACCTGTGTATGCCGCCCGACCCAGGTATAGAGGTAGCTACTCTAGGTGCTGGTGAGTCTGCTGCTCTAGGTGCTAGTGAGTCTGCTCTCTCTCGTACTGCGCTTGCTGAGGCCTTGCACACCTTCACGCTTGACTCAGGTGCTTCCCGTTGTTTCTTTCGCGACAGTACCGCACTCACACCACTCCCAGCACTTGTTGCTGTCTCTCTGGCTGACCCCTCTGGGGGCCCAGTCCTTGCTCGTTCCTCCACTGTTCTCCCGTGTCCAGCGGTTCCGTCTGGCTCACTGTCAGGTCTTCACCTCCCCTCGTTCTCTACGAACTTGGTGAGCAACGCCGTCCTTCAGGATGTATGGGTTGACACCTTTACTCCAGAAGGACAGCGTGTGGCGATCTGTACGTGCTCCTGGACTGGCCGGCACCTGGCCACGTTCACCCGTGCGCCTGGCTCGAGTCTGTACACACTGACTACTGTGTCTCCTCAGGTAGCTGCGTCTGCGTCTGCGTCAGGTCAGCTGTCGGCCCCCTGCTCGTGTCGCGCCCTGTCGCACCAGACGCTCCTTTGGCACCACCGCCTTGGTCACCCCTCCGTGGCACGCCTCCGTGGCATGCACTCCCGTCTCCTTGTCTCTGGTCTTCCCAGGACTCTGCCTCCCCTCCCACCCTCGCCTGCCCCTCCTTGCCTTCCCTGTGTCGAGGGGCGGCAGCGCGCCGCTCCTCACTCCTCCTCGTTTCCCCCGACGACTGCTCCCCTGCAGACTCTCCACATGGACGTGTGGGGCCCAGCCCGCGTCCGTGGACAGGGCCGCGAGCGCTACTTTCTGCTGGTTGTTGACGACTACACGCGGTACACCACGGTCTTCCCCTTGCACAGCAAGGGGGAGGTCCCTGATGTTCTGATCCCCTGGATCCGCGCTGTCCGTCTCCAGCTCCGCGAGCGGTTCGAGACGGACCTTCCAGTCCTGCGTCTGCACTCTGACAGAGGTGGTGAGTTTGCCTCCGACCTTCTGCGGGACTTTTGTCGTGGGGAGGGCATTCGCCAGACGTTCACGCTTCCGGCCTCTCCGCAGCAGAATGGGGTTGCTGAGCGCCGCATTGGCTTAGTCATGGAGGTCGCTCGTACCTCCATGATCCATGCGGATGCCCCCCATTTTCTGTGGCCGTTTGCGGTCCGATACGCTGCGCATCAGCTCAACCTCTGGCCCCGTGTCTCCTTGCCGGAGACCTCGCCGACACTGCGTTGGACGGGAGAGGTTGGCGATGCGTCGGTGTTCCGGGTCTGGGGATCTCGTGCCTTTGTCCGCGATACGTCCGCGGACAAGCTTTCCACCCGCGCCATTCCCTGCGTCTTCCTTGGTTTTCCCCCTAACGCGCCTGGCTGGCAGTTTTACCACCCCAACTCGCGCCGTGTCCTGCCCTCTCAGGACGTCACGTTCGACGAGTCGGTTCCCTTTTACTGTCTCTTCCCCTACCGCACTGCCCCGCTCCCCCCCCCGCTGCTCTTCCTTGCACCTGGTCCTCCTCCGGTAGACCCCCTCCCTCCTCAGGATCCTGCTCCCTCAGGTGTGTCTCAGGTAGACCCTGTCGAGCCTGTCGAGATCGCTGTCGACTCTGGTGCTGCTGGGGGTGGTGCTGCTGGGGGTGCTGAGCCTGAGCGTGCGGAGCCTGGGGGTGCTGAGCCTGAGCGTGCGGAGCCTGGGGGTGCTGAGCCTGAGGTTGTTGAGTCTGGGGGTGCTGAGCCTGGGGGTGCTGAGCGTGGGGGTGCTGAGACTTGGGGTGCTGAGCCTGGGGGTGCTGAGTCTGCTGGAGGTCCTACAGGTGCCTCGTCACGGCGGGAGCCTCTCTCTCCACCGCAGCTGCGCGAGTGGTTTGCTCGGCGCTGGAGCCTTCGGAGTGGCGCTGCTGGAGCTGGGGGGTCTGCCGCTGGAGGCCCTGGAGCTGGAGGTACTGGAGCTGCTAGAGCTGGAGGTACTGGAGCTGCTGGAGCTGGAGTTACTTCCGGCGTTGGAGCTGGAGCTGCTGGAGTTGCTGGAGCCACTGGTCCCGGAGGTGCTCGTACTGGAGGTACTGGAGCTGCTGGAGCTGGTGGTGCTGCGGGCGTGGGAGCCGGAGGTGCTGGAGCTGCTGGTCCTGGAGGTGCTGAAGGTGCTAGAGTCGCTGGACCCGGAGGTGCTCGTACTGGAGGTACTGGAGCTGCTGGAGCTGGTGGTGCTGCAGGAGTTGGAGCAGGAGGTGCTGGAGCTGCTGGAGCTGGAGGTGCTGCTGGAGCTGGAGCTGCTGGAGGTGCTGAAGCTGGTGGTACTGCAGGCCTTGGAGCTGGAGACCCTGGAGCTGGGGGTACTGGTGCTGTCGGTGCTGGTTCTGGAGGCGCTGCGTGGCTGCGGCCGTACTTCGTTCCACTGCTTCAGCAGGTTCTTGGTCTCCCGCCTTCTACTGGCCCTACTCCTCCCTTACGGTGTCCACCGCCTGACCAGTCGCAGTCGCAGTTACAGCCAGCCTCCCCACTGCCTGGTCCTTCTCCTTACACTGGGCCGACCGGAGGTCTTGCGGAGCGTCGTGAGCCTGAGTCTCGTCCTACGTCGCCTGTTCGCGCTGTTCGCACTGGTCGTCGTGTTCCACGTCCGCGTCCTCCTCCTGTCCCAGGCACGCACCACATGGCACTTCGTCCTTCCTCTGTTCCACAGCGTGTCCCTCTGCCGTCTCCTCCTGCGTCCTCTCCTCCTGACGTTGCTGACCCGCCGTCAGACCTTGCTCGTGCTGCCAGTCCTACTGTCACACGTCTTCTAGCCACTGTTGTCACCGACCCTTCGTTTGAGTCCACTGCTGCGTCTGCCCTAGTTGCTGAGCTGGTTGAATTTGCTGTCGCTTGTCGCCTTGATTACGCTGCTAGTCTTGTTGCTGAGTCTGAGTCTGTCTGTCCTCCGTCCGTCGGGGGTGAGTGTGCTCTTGGCACGGACGTCCTTGAGGACAGGCAGGAGGACTTTGAGTGTTTTGCAGGTGCTTTACCTCATCTCGTGTCCATGCTGATTGCACCTGAGGGAGACCCGGATGCACCAGACATCCCGACCCCGCGCTCTTACGCAGAGGCGATTGAGGGTCCCTACTCCTCTCACTGGCAGATAGCCATGGACGCAGAGATGGCTTCCTGGAAGTCCACAGGCACCTACGTCGACGAGGTTCCCCCACCTGGGGCGAACATCGTCAGTGGCATGTGGATTTTCAGGGTGAAGCGGCCGCCGGGTTCTCCGCCTGTCTTCAAGGCGCGTTACGTTGCTCGAGGCTTCAGTCAGCGACAGGGAGTTGACTTCTTTCAGACCTTCTCCCCTACCTCGAAGATGACCACTCTTCGGGTGCTGCTGCACGTTGCCACACAGCGTGACTACGAGCTTCACTCTCTTGACTTCAGCACAACCTTCCTACAGGGCAGCCTGCACGAGGAGATCTGGCTGCGCCGCCCACCTGGCTTCACTGGGTCGTTTCCTGCAGGTGCCCAGTGGAGCCTCCGGCGGCCAGTCTACGGTCTCCGCCAGGCGCCTCGCGAGTGGCACGACACACTGAGGACGACTCTTGCGGCTCTTGGGTTTGCTCCTTCTACTGCTGACCCGTCGCTGTTTCTACGCACCGACACTTCGCTGCCGCCGTTCTACATCCTCGTGTACGTCGACGACTTGGTCTTTGCCACTGCTGACACTGAGGGACTGGCCCTAGTGAAGTCAGAGCTGCAGAAGAGACACACGTGCACAGACCTGGGTGAGCTGCGCAGCTATCTTGGCTTGCAGATCACCCGGGACAGAGCACAGCGCACCATTACCTTGACTCAGTCACACATGGTGCAGCAGGTCCTTCAGCGCTTCCGCTTCACGTACTCCTCGCCACAGTCCACTCCTCTGCCTACCGGTCACTCGCTCTCAGCTCTGCCTTCGGATGAGTCCGTAGAGCCGAGTGGCCCGTATCCAGAGCTTGTGGGCTGCCTCATGTACCTGATGACCTGCACTCGACCTGACCTTGCTTACCCTCTTAGCATCCTGGCTCGCTACGTTGCGCCCGGGAGACACCGGCCAGAGCACTGGGAGGCCGCTAAGAGGGTGATGCGCTACTTGTGCAGTACGTCGGGCATGGGGCTCGTGCTTGGAGGACGGGCTCGAGTTGTCCTCACTGGTCACGCAGACGCTTCTTGGGTTGACGACTTGGCTACGCAGCGGTCGTCACAGGGTTACTCCTTCAGCCTTGGCTCCGGCTCTGTTTCTTGGCGGTCTACCCGCTCGTCTTCTGTTCTCAGTTCCAGTTGTGAGGCTGAGATCTACGCAGGGGCCATGGCTGCACTGGAGTTACGCTGGCTCACCTACCTGCTGACCGACTTGGGAGAGCCGCCTCGTTCTCCTCCAGTTCTGTACGTCGACAACAAGGCCATGATTGCCTTGTGTCAGGAGCACAGACTGGAGCACAGAACGAAGCACATCGCTCTGCGCTACTTCCTTGCTCGAGAGTTGCAGCAGCGTGGTCAGTTTCGTCTTGCTTACGTGGCCTCTCGGGCCAACACTGCTGATATCTTCACCAAGGCCCTTCAGCCTTGTGATCATCAGCGTTTCTGTACTGTTCTAGGCCTTGTGCCTACTTGGCCTCACTTGCTCACTTCTTGACTTTGCTTTTACTGTGATCTATACACTTATTCCTGCATGCTTACACTTGCTAGGTTGTGATCACTGTACTGCTTGTTCTCCTTTATATAACTCTGCATGTGAACTGGCCTTGTGGCCATTTGCTTGTGCTCAGAATGCGTGGTGACTTCGTGATCCACCCTGAGCTTGCTTTGCTTTTCTTGACCGGTCTTGTGACCTCTTGTTCTCCCCCACTTTGCCTATGGGGGTGTGTCAAACTTATATGCTGCTTATTGTGTAGGCTATAGTGGGGTAGCCCATATGGGGTACAACCCAACTAGGGTTTGCTACTTGTACCCATCCTGCTGCTAGTTCATTTCATTCTCGTTTATTCTGCTGACAGCCCATACTGCCCTGCCCGTACTGCCCTGCCCGTACTGCCCTACCCGAACTGCCCGTACTACCCTGCCCTGCCTGCGCTACCCCACGCGCTCTGCATTGCCCGTCGCGCTGCTCGCTTGCTGCCTAGCGCGCTACCCGCTCACGCCCTGCTCGCGCTGCCTGCACGCGCGCTGCCTACGCTAGCCACGCGCCCTGCCCGCACTCTGCGCCCACTGCCCGCACGCTGCCTGCGCTGCCCACGCGCTGGATCTGCTGCCCGCGCGCTGCTCGCCCCGCCCGCGATCTGCCTGCGCGCTGCCTGCACAGGCGGCGCCCTGCCCGCGCACCGCGCGCCCTGCCTGCGCACTGCCCGCACGCTGATGGCGCCGCCCGCACGCTGCCCCTACGGCCCGCGCCGCCCATGCTCTGCCCGCACAGCCCACGCGCTGTCCTGCGCTGCCTGCACGCGCCCTGCACACACTGTAGCTGCTGCTGCTGCCCGCAATGCGCCGCCCTGCCCTGTCGAGCCACGCCGCCCAAGCCGCGCCGCCCTACTGAGGGCGCATACTGCATACGTCTCTACGTATACCGCATACGTGTCTGTGCTTACCTCATACGTGTCGGCGCATACCGCATACTTATCTGCACTTACCGCACTACTGCTACTGCTGCTGCTACTGCTGCCGCTCACGATGGCTACTCTTAATGTCCTTGCCTTTGACGCGGAGGGTCGCCCGATTAGGTGTGACTGCTGGCTCGAGGATCTCCAGCTGTACCTGCAGAGCATGACTAGGGAGGACGTTTCACTGTTAGAGCACACGTCCGGTACTTGCCTAGCCCCTGAGGATTCAGCTGTGCGTGCTCTTCGTACTCAGTGGCTCACCCGCGATGCTGCCGCCCGCCTCTCTGTCCGCAATGCCCTCCCGCCTGAGGAACGAGTCCATTTCGGCCAGCTTAAGACGGCGAAGGAACTCTATGACGCTGTAGTTGCTCGTTACTCCCCCCCCTCTTCTGCTGCCCTAGGCCGTATCATGCTGCCGTACCTCCATCCTGAGCTGTCTGAGTTCCAGACTGTCGCTGATCTCTTCAACCACCTTCGCTCTAGTGACGCTCGCTACCATGCCGCTCTCAAGCCGGCCTTTCTGGCTACGAACCCGCCTCCGATGTACATCACACTCTACTACCTCGTCACCCGCCTCCCTGACTCCCTCCGCGCCGTTAGGGATCACTTCCTCGCTCTCGACCCCACCGAGATCACCCTTGCCTTGCCGGAGAAGCATCTCCTCGAGGCCGAGACCAGTTCCGTCTCTGTCGCTGCCTCCCGTGGCACTCCCCGCTCCCCCTTCTTTGAGGGGTGTTCTCCCTCCCTTCTTGCGCCCTCCGTTGCTACTGCTGCTGCTGTTGACTTCCTTCGTACTGAGGAGGTCGGTGCTGTGTCTGCTCCTAGTGGGAGGCGCCGCAGCGGCAAGGGCAAGGGGGGTAAGGGTGGTGGGGGGGGCACTGGAGGGGGTGGTGGCGCGGGTGGTGGCGGTGGCGGTGGTGGGGGTGGAGGCGATGGTGGTGGCGGGGGTGGAGGCGGTGGTGGCGGCAGCTGGGGTGGTGGAAGCGGTGGAGTGGGCGGAGTGGGCTCGGGTGGCGGTCGGGGTGGAGCTGGCAGGGGCAGAGGCCATGGGGCGGCGACTGGTGGTGCAGCTCGTGGCGGCGAAGGCACTGTGGGTGGACAGCAGCAGCAGCCACGCCAGCAGGAGCCACGCAACCCTCAGGAGCTTCGTGAGTGGGTGGTTCTGTTGGTGCAACCCTACGGTTTGCACTCGGCTTGTTGTCCGTGTGCGTGAATGTGTGTGTGTATGGAATGGTATGAGGGCATGGGATAATATATATTTCATGCTTATAATTGTGTGTGAATGTTGAGTCATGATGTCGAGTGTGTGTGTCGAGTCAATATCGAGTTATCGCTAGACGCGTGTTACGCGGTCGTTTGTGTCTCGCGCGCGGTTTCTATTTTGTCGTGCGCGGTTTCTATTTTTGTCCTGTGTCGAACGTTCGGCGTGTCGCAGGTGTGTGCAGCAGACCCATCAAGAACTCAAGGATGAGTTTGTGATGAAGAGCCCGAGCCTTGGTGTCAAGCCTCAAGTGATTTCGAAGCTTGCCAAAAGGGTACACCTCAAGATATTGAAGATAGTTACATTACTTTGTGTAGTGTAACATTTCACTTGGTGTAGGCCCTAGTGAAGGGTAGTTTCGAGACCCTTCGTGATTGGGGACAGTGTGGCACTGTTCCACATCACTGTACCTCGGCTCTTGGGGTTTGTAGGAGCTGGGAGTCATTCCCAACTCGTAACTCTTCCTATCTTGTGTTCTAAGACTATAGTGGCTGCCATAGTACCGTTCGTTCAAACCGACGCTGTGTCGTCAATTCTTTATCAAATCGTGCAATCTAAATTGCTAATTGTAGACGACGTGAAGACGCTCCAGATCCAATTTGAATCAAGTCATTTGCAGCTGTGAGCAGAACGCTATCAACGTTTGAAGCCGCTGTGCAGAAATCCGTCTGTGCTCTCTATCTTTCGTTTTAGGCACATTCAAGCCTATTGTGACTATAAAAAGTGGTATCAGAGCCCCTTGGAGCAGTTTCGACAATGTCTGGACCTGAGGAAAGGGGTGGCAGAGGTGCTGGTGGCAGTGGAGAAGCTCAAGCTCAAGGCCAACCCCGTGATTCAGCCATGGCGCCCATGCAACCAAGTCTTGGCCCACCTAGGGATGAGCCTAGGGTGTTTGGGCTTGACAAGTTCAACGTTGACAACTTTGCTGAATGGTCCTTCAAGATGGAGAACATCTTTGACCACTATGACCTGCTGGAGGTGATGGAAGGAACGGAGAAGCGCCCCGAGAACGACCCGGAGAAGAGCCCGTGGGTGCGGAAGAGCGCACAAGGCTATCTCTTACTTGGGCAAGCGTTGGGGAGCAGTCAGATCCGTCACATCAAGCCATTCCAGCGTGAACCAGAGAAAGGACCAAAGGCATGGGCTGCTCTCAAGGGTGTACATGCTCCTGCAACAGCGGCGGTAGCGGTGGTGTTGGAACGGCAAATGGCGGCACTACGAATTGAAGAAGACGAAGCGGTTGAAGAAGGGGTGCAGAAGTTCTTCGACTTGTTGACGCGGCTTGAGGGAGCTGATTTGAACTACAGTGAGCTCCAAAAGAAGACCAAGTTGCTGGCCTTACTCCCAGAGTCATGGTCCTCGCTCATCATCAACCTTAATCGCGACTTGCCCCGCCTCTCGCTTGAAGACGTGAAGCGAGCTATCCTTCAAGAGGATTTCCGCCGCCGTGAGTTGGCGAGTGCGGATGGCGCTGGGGCAGCGAGCATCGGCCGTGGATATGGTCGAGGAAGAGGCAGAGGACGAGGGGGAGGAAGGTTTGGTGGCAGCAACTTCGGCGGAGGCCGCAGGAGTGGCGGTTACGGCAGCGACGACAAGAGCTACGGACGCGGTCGCGGCCGATTCGACGGCGAGTGTCACTATTGCCACAAGAGCGGACACATGTGACGCGACTGCTACAAACTCCCTGATGGTTGGACCCCTGCTCAAGGCCAAGAGGGTAGAGGAGCAGGAGGAGGGAGAGGACGAGGCCGTGGAGGCCGTGGCGGTCGCGGTGGCGGAGCTGCAAACATGAAGAGCGGAGACAACGACAAGGACCCGAGCGACGATCGATACCCGGGTCTATTCTACTTCGTGTCGACGCAAGTACCGGCTGGTCCAGAGAAGGATGAAGGCTTTGAGGAGCCAGCAGCTATGGGGAAGGTGACCCTACACCCCCTGGACTATTGGGTGATTGATAGTGGCGCTACCTATAGCATGACACCTCGCCCGGACTTGCTCACCGAACTCGAGCCGTCACCGGTGAAGCATGTCACATCGGCTTTGGGGCAGCGAGCAGAGGTGAAAGGCATGGGAAAGGCCATGTTCAAGGGTGCTGATGGGAAGATGGTGGGCCTGAAGAACGTGCTTTGGGTGCCCAGCCTTGCTGCAAACCTGATTTCCGTGCGGCGGTTGGCAAAGGCCGGCATGGACACGAACTCGAAGGGAGCCAAGACCTACACCGCAAGGCTTGGCGATCGAATTCTTTGGGACCTTCATGAGGACAGGGATGTCTACAACGAGATGTGGCAGATCCCAGTGGTCCCTATGCCTAAGGAGAGGCAAGTGGCAGCAAGCATCAGCACCAAGGATGGAGCGGTCGGTAGCGACGATGGCGCGAACGGTCGCGCTAAGGAGAATGAGCTCAAGAAGAGCAAACCTGGAGGGACCAGCAAGTTCAGTGAACCTAAGGAGAGTGGTGCAGCAACCAAGGAGCAGCAAAAGGGTGAGGAGAACCCAGAGGCAGCAGCGGAGGAGGACTACGGAGAGAGTATGTGGGGCGCTATTGCGAGCGCGGCATTCTCCAATCCAACTTCGGCTACGGGGGAGTGTGATTGGCTCACCTTGCATCGGCGCATGGGGCATGTGGCCCTGCCTATCTTGCAGCAGCTAGTGAAGAATGAGATGGTTGCTGGCATACGTGTGAAGGGGGAGCCCGATGAGGTGCTTGGCTGCCCGACGTGCATTCAAGCCAAGTTCACCCGGTTTCCGTTCCCTAGTTCGGAGGCAACGGCCAAGGCA